CACATCATCACCATCATACTCATCATCAGCATCATCAGCAGCACCAGCATCATCAGCACCATCCCGCCAGCCCATTCAAAAACATTGCCCACCAGATCTTCCCCGAGGGGAAGAGGGTTCATATCGTCAGTCCACCTTCTAGCATCATCGGTACCAACAGCATGAGCATGCGCATCAGCACCAGCATCATCACCATCATCATCAGCAGCATCATCACCCTTAGCAGCAGCATCACCATCACCATCGTCAACAACAATGTGTGTAAGACTGCTCTGTCTTACCTTCTCGCGTGCAATTCAATGAGTCTGCCCCGAACACTCGACATCCGTCCTCTTCGTCCTCGATCATACCCCCCTTGCGGGGTACATTGTCTTTACCTGCCACGTGTAATTTGCGCACCCCCCAAGGAAGGGGAAGGAAGGAAGGGAAGGAGACGGGGGGAGAGAGAGAGGGATGGAGCACGACAGAGATTCGCAGGAGGGGGGAAGGAGCAGAATATCCAGTGGCAGAACCAGACGAGCGGGTCAGGCGGGGCGAGTCGGGCGGGCGGGTCCAGGCGGCGGGGGCGAGCGGGCGGGTCGCTGAAGCGCCAGTCCTGCATGAATCGCGGGGAAGTCTTGAGCGACAGCGCGAGTCCCAAGGAAACCACGAGAAACGCCAGAGCGAGAGCGCGATTCCGAAATGCTGAAGGCGCGGCGATCCAAAACATTGCGAAGAGGTCCCGCGCGAGGGCGCGACTCATGGATACATTGTGAGGAAGTCCTGCGCGAAAACACGATTCTGAATACTCTGCGAAGGGATATCAGATTGGAGCCTCTGTTGTTGTAAACCAGTGGCCAGGGACACAGTCGGGCACTCAAAACGCTCCCTTGTAAAAAGCCGGGTGCGAGCCACACGAGGGGCATGTTTAAGAGAAATGGGCACCAGGAGGCGGGGATCAGCAGCCAGTGTTATTTGTTGGCATGAGTGCTCATCAGCAACAAAAACAATAATATTAATTTTAAAGCTGTTCGTCTTTATATGCTCGAGTGTCCAATAACGCGTATTTCCCAAACCCTCGATACCCGCCCTCTTCGTCTTCGATCGAACCCCTTTTGGGGGGTATACCTTTCTTCCCTGCAGGCCGGGCCCCGGCAAGCGGCGGGGCGGCCGCGGACCGTCGGCCTGGCCAGCGGCAGCGCTGATCGGCGGGGCGGCCGCGGACCGTCGACCCGACCCCAAGAGGGACGGACAGGGGACCGACCACGACGACGACGACGACGACGACGACGACGACGTCGAAGACGACGGCGACGACGACGACGACGGCGACGACGAGCGAAAGCGAGAGCGAGAGAGAACGACAGCAGGGCCACGAAGGGCACGAAGTAGGCCACGAAGGGCGACAGCGGGGACACGAAGGGAATGCGTATGGGGCCACGAAGAGCGCGAACGAGCGGGGGCCACGAAGTGCAGATAATGCGGGGCCCCCAAAGGCAACTATGGGGCCACTGAGGGTAGCAACTGGGCCACGTAGGACAGTGAGGGGGACACAAATCGCGACAGCGGGGCCACGAAGGGCATTCACATGGGGCCACAACGGGCGCGACTCCTGGGTGCCTGGGTGTCGGGAGCGCGGCGCTTGGGCAAATTGCAGGAAATCCCAACGCAAGGCCACTCTTCAGTAAGTTGCAAGCAAGTGTCCAGCGAGAGCGCGACTCCAGAGCGCCGGGAGAGCGATTCCTGAATAAACTGTAAGGAAGTCCCAGGCGAGAGCGCGATTCCTGAATAAAATGCGAGGAAGTCTCGGGCGGGAGCGGGGGTCCTGGCTAAATTGTAAGGAGCTCTCAGGCGGGAGACGTTGTTGTTGTAACCCGGGGGCCAGGGGCCCAGTTTGAGCATCAAGACTTTCCCTGTCAAAAAACAAGGTGCGAGCGTCGAGGGGCATACTTTGACTGATAAAAAACAGTATGCACCAGTGGGGGGGGATCAACAATAATTATTCTTCAGAAAGGAGAATTCAACTACAACAACAACAGCAGCAGCAGCAGCAACAGCAGCAACAACAACAACAACAACAACAACAACAACCACAACAACAACAACAACAACAATCATTTTACCCGAACGCTCAGTGTTCTCACCAGTGCCAGGGTTTTCATGCGACGCGAGACAATACCCCCACTTCGTGGGGGGGCAGTTCAAGCTCTACCAAATATCCAAACGACTCTTCGCGACCACCCAAACCCAGCTTCCCGCCCTATGACGTTGGGACACTTCACTTCGTGGCGTGCGGACGACCGTGGCTACTACACTGGCGTGGGGTACACACCCACAGAACTTGGTCACTTATTCGGGGCGCGCGTGTGCCCAGCATCCTGCAATTGTGACATACAATACATGACACAGACAGACAGAGAGAGAGACAGAGAGCAGACAGAGAGAGAGACAGAGAGAGCGGAGTTGGTCACATTTTTGGGGCAAGTTCCTGAGATCGTCGTGTTTTTTGTTGGTCTTGCGCGCGCGAATGTCCACTTTACTTTTTTTTGCAAGGGAGTATTGAAATTTGATTATGTTAGAACAAGAAAAAGTAGCTCGCGCGAGCTCATGTAACATAAATGTTGAAAAACCATTGGTTTTGTGGGAGTCGGACAGCGCGCGCGGGATGAAATTTGGACATTTGTTTTTGAAAAACCATTGGGTTTTTGATGTTTTTATGTTGAAATCGCTACGAAACCTAAGGTTCTGGAAGGATTTCGTCTTGCGCGCGCGAATGTCCACTTTACCTTATTTTTTGCAAGGGATTATTGAAATTTGATTATGTTAGAACAAGAAAAAGTAGCTCGCGCGAGCTCATGTAACATAAATGTTGGAAAACCATTGGTTTTTTTAGGATTCGGACAGCGCGCGCGGGTGGAAATTTTGAAAAGTCGTGCAGGTGTTTTTCGAGGACCTACGGTGCGATTCGTGTGATTTTATGATGCGCGGTGCTAAAATTCTTAAAAACCCAATGGTTTTTGGAGATTTCGGCGTGCGCGCGCGAAGAAAAAACGAATGTGTCCCGCATGGTATTATTTGACAGGGATGATGGCCCTGGCAGGTGCGCAAACGTTGTCGCAGAAGTTCGAAAAAGTTGCTCGCAAAAGCCCGTTTGACAGAATTGTTTAAAAAGTGTTGGTTTTCCTACGAATCCGCAAGAGCGCGCGGAAGAACATTTTGACAATTTTTTCTTAAAAAACCATTGGGTTTTTGATGTTTTTATGTTAAAATCGCTACGAAACCTAAGGTTTTGGAAGGATTTCGTCTTGCGCGCACGAATGTCCACTT